CAACTTCAACAAAGAAATTTGTATTTCTTTATGTGTAGACGATTAACTATATAGAAAGGTCAATACTATTATGCTTCGTCTAAACTTTGATTACGAAATTGAACTGGCTTTCAATGGATCTCACGTTTAACTTAGTTGTATCGTTCTAGTATGAAATTAGTGTCAGTCTAAATTATATGACAACAATTGATGTTTATTACAATCAAAATGTTATTATAATAACAAAACAATTATGATAATGGTATGGGTGACTTCGCGTGAGATCGATAAATCAATTGGAAGGTTATTCTTTCTATCACATAATTTTCCTTTCAGATAAATTATGTACAAAAATAATCTAGACAAAACAGAAAGAATAAATTTTAATTATAAAAATGATATAGAGCAGATTGATTACATTTTCTTCTGATAGGCCTATGAACAAATAGTCAAAATTCTGGAAACAAAGTGATCCCTCGGAAGCATTAATCACAACAAAATAACATAAGAATTGCAGACTCGGTTTGATTGAGTCTGTACATGAGGGATAATGAATAAGTGCAACATCCCTCACGCCCCCTAGCACCGGCTTGAGCGGTACTCAATTCTCAACACTTTATAGTGTTGGCATCAATGATCCCGAAGGACCAGAAAAAATATAACAACACTGAAGTGAAGTACGGGGCAACTTTTTACGGCTGCCACACGGCACTTGACACCTGCTGTTGTGAAGTACAAAATTCTGGAAACAAAGTGATCCCTCGGAAGCATTAATCACAACAAAATAACATAAGAATTGCAGACTCGGTTTGATTGAGTCTGTACATGAGGGATAATGAATAAGTGCAACATCCCTCACGCCCCCTAGCACCGGCTTGAGCGGTACTCAATTCTCAACACTTTATAGTGTTGGCATCAATGATCCCGAAGGACCAGAAAATATAACAACACTGAAGTGAAGTACGGGGCAACTTTTTACGGCTGCCACACGGCACTTGACACTGCTGTTGTGAAGTACAAAATTCTGGAAACAAAGTGATCCCTCGGAAGCATTAATCACAACAAAAATAACATAAGAATTGCAGACTCGGTTTGATTGAGTCTGTACATGAGGGATAATGAATAAGTGCAACATCCCTCACGCCCCCTAGCACCGGCTTGAGCGGTACTCAATTCTCAACACTTTTATAGTGTTGGCATCAATGATCCCGAAGGACCAGAAAATATAACAACACTGAAGTGAAGTACGGGGCAACTTTTTACGGCTGCCACACGGCACTTGACACTGCTGTTGTGAAGTAAAAAATTCTGGAAACAAAGTAATCCCTCGGAAGCATTAATCACAAAAAAATAACATAAGAATTGCAGACTCGGTTTGATTGAGTCTGTACATGAGGGATAATGAATAAGTGCAACATCCCTCACGCCCCCTAGCACCGGCTTGAGCGGTACTCAATTCTCACACTTTATAGTGTTGGCATCAATGATCCCGAAGGACCAGAAAAAATATAACAACACTGAAGTGAAGTACGGGGCAACTTTTTACGGCTGCCACACGGCACTTGACACCTGCTGTTGTGAAGTACAAAATTCTGGAAACAAAGTCATCCCTCGGAAGCATTAATCACAACAAAATAACATAAGAATTGCAGACTCGGTTTGATTGAGTCTGTACATGAGGGATAATAAATAAGTGCAACATCCCTCACGCCCCCTAGCACCGGCTTGAGCGGTACTCAATTCTCAACACTTTATAGTGTTGGCATCAATGATCCCGAAGGACCAGAAAATATAACAACACTGAAGTGAAGTACGGGGAAACTTTTTACGGCTGCCACACGTACCATACATGTTCACGACTAACAAGCATGAAGGATAGACAAATACGCTGCTATATTAATATTCTACAAATGCTGGTATGAGATATGGTGTAAGAATGTATCCATCAAAATTAGTCTTTTGCTTATAACTTATTTCTATAATCAATTCTAGTGCAATCAGTACATTAATTAGCGTAATCCGTAGCGAAAACTTATACAAATCGGTTTTATCTATTTTAATACAGTAACATAAATATTAAAGACTGACGAAAATATTTTTGAAAACAGAGAAATTACGTATTTAGAACTTCTCTTTCTAAATAAAGTGCAGACATTTGCGGTCTTAGGTTTCATGTAGAATCATCTAACGCAATTCTTCACTTACGGTTAATCTTAGTATAACTAAAATAAGAGAAATAAGAATCTTCAAAGAAAGCCCAACACGGCAAAATTGAAACGTTGCAGGCTCGGTTTGATTGAGCCTATGCATGGGCGGTACTGGCTAGTGCATGTTACCGTCCATGCCCCCTATATGACGTCAAAAAAAATTAAAAAGCAGGCCACATATCCTTTTAGGTGATTCAACAGTATTCAAGTGAGGAATACTGGAACCACCCAACAAAACAAAAGCCAAACGGAAATAACTAAAAATACCACAAGAACAACATTAATGTCGTGCTAAACGATCTTTAAGGATCGAAAATATAACATCCCTGATTGAATGTACTGGGCGACTTTTTACAGCCTCCACGCGGCACTAACAACGCTGATGTGGCATTAAAATAAGAAAAATAAAAATCGTCAAAGATAGCCCAACACGGCAAAATTTAAAACGTTGCAGGCTCGGTTTGATTGAGCCTGTTCATTGGCGGTACTGGTAAGTGCAAAGTACCGTTCACGTCCCCTAGCCGCGGCTTAAGCAGTATTCAACATTTAACATTAACTGGTAATAGTTTGAATTTTGAAACATCTGCAGATGTGTTCATGTGGCGGTTATAATAGAATATTCTTCCACAAACGAAGTTAGAACATTTTATATAACACGTTAGTGCCATTCCATGAAAAGCGGCATATTTTCCCCAAGTAAAGAAATGCGTGTACCCTAAACGAGAAAACAATGGACGGAACTAAATGAAATTGAATTTTGAAAGGGGATCTGAGGTTATGAAGCCTGCATATCATTAATGAAATCATTAATACGTATACGTATCGTTAACTACAAGTTATTGTGAGGAAGAGCTCCCTTTTCGAAATTGTATGGCCCCTTGTGTCTGGGTTGAGGTAACATGGAGGGGCTTTAGTGAATATTCTTCCACAAACGAAGTTTATGCGGTTATAATAGAACCTTTTATGTAACACGTCAGTGCCATTCCATGAAAAGCGGCATATGGTCCCCAAGTAAAAAAAATGCGTGTACCCTAAACGAGAAAACAATGGGCGGAACTAAATGAAATTGAATTATGAAAGGGGATCTGAGGTTATGAAGCCTGCATATCATTAATGAAACCATTAATACGTATACGTATCGTTAACTTTCATTTACAACTTATTACTGTCAACCATTATTCAATTTGCAATGGTAAAATAACTTTGAAACTTGTCATCATTAAATTTTGTTATAAATATTACTTGTAGATCATACAATCATGACATTTTGGAAACAAGGAGTATCTTTAACAAAATGATGCTCGACTTATTTCTTAGTTTTCCATGCAAAGTCATATAAAAGTATATGCATTGCTTGCATAACAATAGCATAATAATTTATTGTAGGGTTATTAATTTTGAAAAAATGGAACACTTTAAGTTATCTGTGTTTCTAAACAAACTTGTGTTTCGGTAGTGGACTCAATTTCTAACGCAAACATCTAGGCAGTTTATAAGGCAACCAATTTGTTACATTTTGAATTACATTTACACACAGCATATCAAGTATACTATTTATGATTGAATTTGTCAATATAAAGAAGATTTCAGGCAAAAAACTTTAATAATTTTGCTTTTGATAAATCATAATTATTCTTAATTTATTTTTATGAAAATAACATGTTGATATATTGGTTGTTTTGAAATAATTATAACTTTAGTACATTTGTATATAAGGTTACATTTCTGTAGTAACATTGGTAATGCACGCCATGCACGGAGGTAAATTATCAACACTCTGTGCTTCAAAACTAACTCTTTAAGGGCATGACTGGTGACATGTCCGGGGTCTGTACTCGACAGCGAAAGCTGCATTTTGTGCCCGTACGGGCGGAAGGACCTTCATTTAGCATAGACTGTAGATAGATAGATCAGAAACTTTGATATGCAGTTTCAACATGAGGTGTATTGTTTTTTATATGAATGGTTTTTTTCCCAATAAATCAATTAACAATAGCTTTTTATATATCACCAATGTCAAGTAACTTTTATATCTGACTCGCATAGTGAATTTCCTCATACCTGCCTAAAATTCAGGTAACAGTCTTCTATCAGTTTTGAAAGAGACCATTTTTTAATTTGACATAAAAATGCATGTAATATTACTATAATATTATAATATAAGTCCCTTTTGTAACTATTTGTATATTTGTTACAATTATAATAATAATAATAAAAACAGACTTTTAAATATTTATCATCTTATGTTACTGACTATGGTAGTGACACAAACAGTCATGTCACATAACATTTCCTTCCAAGTCTTGTAAGTCTTGTTTGTATTCACCTTACCAGGTAGGCATCAGTGAAAGCATTTGTTCAAATTAAATATCTGGCCCCTCTTTTTAATTATGGACAGTGCATAAGATAAGTATAATTATGCAAAAAATGGTTTACAAAACATTCGGAAAAATCTACAATAGTACTTACTCTGAATATAACATGACCTGTGCGTAGGAATAATTTGGTAAAGTATCTGTAATGAGCGCATTTTTTGCGCGGAGCTTCTCAATTGCTGCATTCCAGCAACATTTGTACTTGTAATATTATAGTGTGCATTTTATATCCTCTACCTGGGACCTAAACCTTAAAAACAATGGGTTATGCATTCCACTGTGTTAAGGACAAATTTTTGTTATAACTAAAGGTGATAATGACCCCCATTCAGCCACTTTATCTTTTTGAAATTTTAAGTGGTCTGAAGCAAAATTGAACTCAACCTATTATTCATGAAGTATCAACTGTGTGAAATAATTCTATACTAATGTTATCATCCAGAAACCATTTTTCTATTATTCGTAATAGTGACCCTGATCGAAGGGAGTACAAAAACAAACCATGACTCTGGTCTTCTACTATGTTTAATAATGTTGACCTTCATCTTGATCCCGTTTTGATAACAACATTCATAGTAATTCAACTATAGTTATTGTCCGGAAACCATGTTCTATTTTTAGTAATATTGACCATGACCTCAGGGGGGGGCCAAACAAGAAGATCAACCGGGGTTTCAATATAAGATTGCTATATAACAAGTTTGATTACAAGGGGTTAGAGTCGATCACTTCTTATCCAGTTACCTCTCTGGCGTGGGTTTGATCCCTAGGAGATGCTTTGGTAGTTTAGCGCGGAGGAAGGTAGTCTAGTACTGGTGTAACTCTCCAGGAACGAAGGTTAGGAAACTGCCCGCCTATATGACTGAAATACTGTTGGAAAAAGGCGTTAAATGGAACAAACAAACAAACAAGAGTTTTCTGCTTCTCTGTAATATCAACATGTTTTACAGTATCTGTATTAGTGTTTTTATGTAAGATTCGCTGAACTGATCATCTTTCGAGTCTGTATTGAGATTATTAATATTATCAATTTGATGTCTGACTGATTCCTCACTGGTACCGTTAGTGACTGTAATAGAATCAAATGTTCGAATGCTTATTAAATGTTTTCCTTTCGTTCAGTCTTCACAAACCGTATTTTGAATGTCTATTTGTAATGTGTTATTTCTACCGAACTTGATTTGATATATTTGCTTCCAAAAATGAGATTTAGGCGATTTTGTTGTAAAGCCGTAAACGGTTATATTTAAATATTCCGAATGGATACCGATATCCGTATCAAAGTAAAACAAAACAAAAACTATAATAATAGATTTGAAATATATCAATCGCCAAAATATGTTCTAACAAACACGTTTCCCTCTGCAAAACATGTTATTTTACCAATTTTAAATTAAAGTAAACTTTTCTGTTTTCTCATATTTGACGAAGTACTAATCTAATTTGATATAAAGATGTTGCGTTTTTGTTATTTTGTTTTTGTTGTTTTTTTATGAAAATATAGTTATTATATGCTTCAATTATACTAAAGAATTATACTAAATTCTTTAATTATACAAATTATATTTTCATAAGTGATTCTAAAACAAAATAAAGGAGTAAATCAGCGTAAGAGTGGTAAAATTAATTCAAGTTTAATAGGTGTTGTAAGTATTGAATTTTACAAGTTATAACAATAATAGCACAATCAGCGTTAAACACAATTTGCACTAAGTCTAATGCATCAGATCAACAATAAACAATAACGCGTAAAAAAGAGATGGAAATGAACTATAAAACTAAATAACTATGAATACGTTAATCCGAATACAAAATGTAATAATAGTAATAAAACAGCTGTAACGCATAACAAAATTGTATAGTAACTAATAATTAACAAAAAAACAATAAGCGTACATCGGGGGACACGGAGGATTGTATATTTTACATTTATGACTCAAATAAAAAAAATGAAAAAGCAACAAGTAATAAAAGTTAAATTAATTGCTGCTACACTGTAACGTTGTTCGAAATGATTTCAAAAAATGAAAATAAAAACAACAATAAGCGTAAGAGGGTAAGAAAATACTTATAATTGTACAAATATAACAACGTTGTAAAAAATATAAGATTTTTTTTCCTTGTTAAAGTGAAAAGAAGAGGAAAACGATACTGCCTACAACAATTACTAATTCCCTGCATTGTAATATGTTATTTATAAGATTGGTGAGATAACAAATGGTAGAAAATCAAATTCAATAAAAATACGAAACCCTAAAACAGTGAATTCAAAATTTTTAACATCCAGATTAGTATATCATCTAACGAATAAGATATTGCTCAAGATTATAAACATAACATAGTAAAAATATAGGTGACACCTGCTTCATAATTATCAAAATAAAACGGAAATGGAAAGAAAGTCGATACATTTATGTTTTAAAAGTCTCTTTGAAATTAATACTAAGATCACGGACATTAAATGCAATATTATCCTATTTACAAGTAATTTGATAATTTTGTAATTTCACTATTTAAAACATTTATTTGTTAAAAATACACATAATGAAATTCATGAACTTGTTTTTTTTAAAGTTAACTTTATGATTTTATTATGCATGAATATAATATAATAATCGTGTTTTTTCTTCCCATGATTGTGGATATTACAGAGTATCAAATTTAAAGATATATTTCGTATAATAGGAAACATTTTAATGGTGCAAAGCAAAAAGTACTACAATTATATACTGTACCAGTATTATATAGCAAGATACTACGTAGTTAGGGTAAGAGAAAGTAACGTTACATATTTAATAAATATCAAAAAGGTAGGGCGACATTCTATGAACACCGACAAGAAGCCAAGCAAGGTACAAAACTAAACAGGAGAGGGCTCAAGATCGAGACAATTAAGGAGATGTGAACATTGAATAGAGGGCGGGTGAAATTTGAAACATTTGGGGACGCGGACCAAAAATACACGGAGAAACGAAATCAGTGTTTACACAATAAGCAACTAGCAATAAACATGATATACATCTTAAAAACAGAGAGCGTCGCTGCTTTGGAACAGTCATCAACATAAGCACTGCAAGGGAATGTAAACGCTTTTAAATAAATGATTCAACCTCACACTGTTAGTCTCAAATTTATTCCGTCCAATCGTTATTTTCAATTATTTTCAAAGCTGCAGCCATGTAACAAGACTGTTAATATAAGAGGCATTTGACATGTCCTCACGCGTTTAGATTCCTGTTTTCTTTAATGATAACTTAATCAAAAACATTCAATTTAAATGTGTATAGTTCGATCATGTTATCATGTTATTAGAGTATACTTTGAGATATTTGTATTAATCACAAAGGCAAAATATTTATATCTCCACAATACTGAAATAATGTCCTCCATTACCATACACAATTTTATACGGATAAGAGAAGGTCACGAAAATCCTATCGCTTTTCTCGAGTTTAAAATCTGCAGCCATGTAACTTGATTGTTCACCTTGCTTGACAGGCATAACACATTGAAATCTGGTGTTTTCTAGTAAAACCGATTCTGTATCAGTTTTATCTGAGATGCGGATAACCTGATGTGAAGCTAATTCATCATCGGCTGAAATGGTTTTGCTTTCTTTCATGATTGTCAAATGTGTAGTGACATGATAGTATCCTGATTTCTGTATAGCAATAACTCCCTCTTCCTCAAAATAGTCGAGTCCGTCGCCTTGCGTTATGGAAGATTTCCAAAATAACTTCGATTGATTGTCTTGTTGAACTGAAAAACAAAACAATCAAACAAATGCAACTTGTTGTATCATTCTATTGAAAATCCTATAAGCTAAGATTGATTTGACAACAACTGTAATGTAGTGATATTTTTAAATAAAAATATTATGAAATTTCACGATAAACAATTAATCTAGAAGTAGTATAATATGTAAACACACCTGATGTTTCAACATTCTTTATACCATTGAGTTGTACTGCAGTAGGTAATGTTGTTGATATTGTTTTGTTGAAGATGGTTAAGTTAAACATAGGAGGTTCTGTAATATTGACAAAAACGGGAATGCGATCACATGTAATGATTTCGTCAAATAACATTCTAAAGAAAAATGAAACCTTTTTTAATATATAGAGAAGGTATTAATGGAAAAATCTGATAAAGCATTCACGTTTCAGATAATGTCTCGTTTGTAATATGTGGAATTTCTTAACTTTTAAAACTTGAACAATAGTCATACTAGGACACATTTGATGCCTTTCGAACATGGCTATAATATACACGTAGTTATATTGCTATATTAGTTGATTAATATTTTCTGAAAATCTCACATATAGACCATTACAATTAAGTAATTAGCACCTTACCGGAGTTGACGTAAATTGGGTATTATACTTAACATGCCACTGTGTCTCTTAACTGATGAAGAATTCGTAAAATAACGATAGTTCAATAATGAACACAGCATGGAAACTTTAGATATATAAACAGTAGCCAATTAGATGAATAAACATATGTTTCAGATAAATTATTGTTTTCGAGGGACTTTGTAGACGTCAGAATTGAGACATAAAAATCAGCGGAATTTCCGAGCGAATCTTTTTATTTATGTTTATTAAAACTGAAACTATAATTTTATGTTCATGTAAGAGTCCCGTTATCCAAACATACCAAAAGCTTGTTTCTCAACACAAGTATTTTACACTACAAAAAATTAACATAATTTTCGTTAAACCATATATCGCCAAAACTTTGGAACATATATATTTTAAACACATGAAACTTATGTTCAGCTTATTTTATGGTAGACATTTAATATATTTGACTGTCCTAGTTTTTTTCATGTTCAGTATATTTCAATGCAAACATTATGGCGGTTGAGATACGCATATCTTACAAATTGAAGTAATACAGTTAAGATCTTCATTTCCGTTCATATTGATATATTTCTCGTTGAGTCGGCAATGTCCACCTTTTGAATGTCATAAAAGTGCGACAATTCGTACTTGAAAGGGTCTGAAACCGACATTTATGTAGAAATTATGACGACAATTATCAAGTGCTGAAATATACTGTTTAGATATGACCAACCTGGATTGATTTCAGTATCATAATGGAATACCATCAGCTGTAAGAAAAGACAATAAAATTACAACCGTTTTACAAAATGTACATGTTTTAAGTAAATAGGCATTTTTATGGGTTTTTTTTTCCTTTTATGAAATTGCAATGTTCTAAACGGCTATTATTCTAATAGAATGTTGATTAACCAAGATGAAGAAATTTTCTATAAAATTTATCTTATTCCAGGATGCGTGTTTACAAGGTAAATGAAAAAAATCGTTCAATACTAAAGGGTTTGACTTATTACTAGAAAAAGCACATTTTGTAAGATTGTGGTTTAATTTCGAATACTGCTTACTACACGCTTTCCTTAATTGTTGCCATGTAAATGATTACCTTTGAAACTGCGCTAAATTTGGATATTTTGACCTTTAAAGGCATTTTTAAGTAGAATATATCATTAAGGATAAAAATATTTAATAATGATTTTTATAAATTGCATATCTTTGTTAACATAAAGCGTACGGAAAAGTAGTTTTGGCATATATCCATTCCATGACTTTAAAATAGAGATAAAATCCCCTGTGTGTGAGTGTGTGTGTGTGTGTGTGTGTTTTGGTGCGTGTGTGAATGTGTGTGCTGTTTATTTTTGTGTTTATCAATTTATTTTTTATTTTCTATATTAATAAACTTATAAAATGGTCTGTAATGAACACGCTTAGATTTTTTGTAAGTAAAATATAAAAATTGTATCGAGTAATTTTGCTCTACGAAATCGCCATTTTAAATCATAAGCGTATAGCAGATACAATAAGTTGCTCATAGGCATCGCATCAAATTAGAAAAACAGTTTTGTAATACATTAGATATTCTTTAATATGTAGCAAAGACGGTTAATTTAAACTCAAATGATACTGAAAATCTAACACATATCATATACTCGCATACCTGTCGAACAAACGCGTTTAACACCTCGACTGTTTCAAAGCAATTTTCATTCTGTGTCGTGTCTTTGCCATATCCAAATGTCAGATTTTGAAGAATTTCAGATTTCCACCCAATAGGTTTAAGACTCTCATCTTTAAAGCATAGCATAGAGTCCATTTGCCGTTGTCTAAGAGCATACCATGTTATAATTAGAGTCACAAGTAGAATTTCGAACACTATTGCAGATACAACCAAACACTTAAATATCCTTTTTGCGTTCTAAAATCAGAAGGCAGTTTAATTTTCTTAATGTTTAAATTATATTAAGTAATTTTCAAAGGTTGCAATTTTTTATGTTGGAAAAGTCGAACACTGTACTGATATGTCCTAAATTGCATTAAACAGACTATAAAGTTGTGTTTAAAAATCCTTTAACTGCTTTAAAAAGTAAAGCAAAATGTTGGTTTCTTAAAACAAAAGTCATTTATCCACCAATTTCCCACACTTAATATTTCTTTAAAATGTAAAAAATACTCTATGTCAAAAATGAATACACATGTACCAACAACGAGCATCAGGGAGGTTATGTAATGCAAAGAAAACATAAATATGCTAAAACTATAATGAACATAATTATTATGTTGTTAACCTTTTTCTCATAATTCCAGTCTTTTCAAAGACAATATAAAAAATTCAGCAATTTATTGATAGATGTTAATCTTTTGAAAGATATTACATTCATTATAAAAAAATCTACGCCGATGACTATTTGAATAAGGATGAAGTCACATAGACATACAATTATGAAGAAATATCTGATAATGTAGTGTTGTGTATGTGTGTGTTAACCATAAGATACGTTTTCAAGCTTTACAAAGGAAAGGTATAAACGGAAGATTTTTGTTTTTATTAAAGAAAATGTATAATACGCTCTATTCATGTGTAAAGGTTCGAAATACTTTCTGTTGTGATTTAAATACACGAAATAGTTCTAGAAATAGGCCTACGATAACTGAATGTTTCAAATGTAAGTGCACGAGATAGTTCTTATTATCTCGTAGAAATGGAGATATCACATAATTTGCACAGGAAAACATTGACAATGATACTTCAGAAGAAAGTAGTTTATTCATTAAACGTGTTCAATAAGACATGTGAATATTGCCACACAATATAGTGATCTTGAGGAGTTTAGCAGTGACAGTCTAAATTCAGATATAAGTGATGTTGATTTGAACGCACTGAATGAGATAACAGAAGAGGAGTTACAAGGTAGTTCTAATGATAATAACAATAATATAGAGAGAAAAGTGGTAATCGATTTTGATACAAGCATGCAAAGCATCATTGATGACGTGTCCCGTGCAAATTGTGATTATATTGTAAGTGCTGACGCGTCCTGTGCAAACAAGGATATTGAAGAACAAGATGTAAGTGATGACGCGTCCTGTGCAACCGATGATATTGAAGATCAAAGTGTAAGTGATAACGTGTCTCGTGCAGATAGTGATTATATTGTAAGTGATGACGTGTCCTGTGCAAACAACGAAAATGATGATGATGAACAATATGTAAATGATGGGATGTCTTCTGCTTCCAATGATTACAGCAATGAAGACGAGACAAATGATGTGCTTAGTGCTAGAAATGATGAGAACATAAATGTTGACCATAGTGAATTATACAATGAAGATTATGATGCAGATGACAACATGTGCAGTAGTGATGAATATGATGGTGTTGGTATCTGAATATGATTTAGATATCGAGATTATTGATATAGTTGATGATGATGAAGGCCATGAAATAGAAAATAGAGAAAAAACAGAATCCTTACAGAAAGCCCAACACCACAAAATTGAAATTGTGGTCGCCTCGGTTCGATAGAACCTGTTCATGGACGGTCTAGGAAAGTGCAAGTTACCGTCCACGCCCACTAGCACCGGCTGAAGCAGAATTTAACAATTTAACACGAAAAATGGGAAATTGTGAGTTTAGAGACATCCCCAGATGTGTTCATACGGCGTTTATCAAGATGTGTGAAGTTGGCGGCCCAGCGGCCTGGCGGCGTGAAGTTGGCGGCCCAGCGGCCTGGCGGCGTGAAATTGGCGGCCTGGCGGCGTGAAGTTGGCGGCCCAGCGGCCTGGCGGCCAAAAAAAAATAATGTTAAAATTAAGAAAGAAATGTTATTTTAACAATAAAACGGCATTTGATGAAGTTTTAAAGATAATTATTGTTATTTAAAGGATATATAAAAAGAAAAAATCACTTTCAGAGAATTTGTTTTTATTTTGTCATTTTTGTGAAGTTGGCGGCCGAAAATTTTAATCTGGCGGCCAAAAAAATTAATGTTACAGAAATATTATTTTAACAATAAAACGGCATTTAATGAAGTTTTAAAGATAATTATTGTTATTTAAAGGATATATAAAAAGAAAAAATCACTTTCAGAGAATTTTTTTTATTTTGTCATTTTTGTGAAGTTGGCGGCCCAGCGGCCTGGCAGCCAAAAATTTTAGTGTGATGGAAATGTTAATTTTACAATAAAACGGCATTTAGTGAAGTTTTAAATATAATTATTGTTATTTAAAGGATATATAAAAAGAAAAAATCACTTTCAGAGATTTTTTTTATTTTGTCATTTTTGTGAAGTTGGCGGCCCAGCGGCCTGGCGGCCTGGCAGCAAAAAATTTTAGTGTGCTGGAAATGTTAATTTTACAATAAAACGGCATTTAGTGAAGTTTTAAAGATAATAATTGTTATTTAAAGGATATATAAAAAGAAAAAAATCACTTTCAGAGATTTTTTTTTATTTTGTCATTTTTGTGAAGTTGGCGGCCCAGCGGCCTGGCGGCCTGGCAGCCAAAAATTTTAGTGTGCTGGAAATGTTAATTTTACAATAAAACGGCATTTAGTGAAGTTTTAAAGATAATTATTGTTATTTAAAGGATATATAAAAAGAAAAAATCACTTTCAGAGAATTTTTTTTATTTTGTCATTTTTTGTGAAGTTGGCGGCCCAGCGGCCTGGCGGTCTGGCAGCCAAAAATTTTAGTGTGCTGGAAATGTTAATTTTACAATAAAACGGCATTTAGTGAAGTTTTAAAGATAATTATTGTTATTTAAAGGATATATAAAAAGAAAAAATCACTTTCAGAGATTTTTTTTATTTTGTCATTTTTGTGAAGGTGGCGGCCCAGCGGCCTGGCGGCCTGGCAGCCAAAAATTTTAGTGTGCTGGAAATGTTAATTTTACAATAAAACGGCATTTAGTGAAGTTTTAAAGATAATTATTGTTATTTAAAGGATATATAAAAAGAAAAAATCACTTTCAGAGATTTTTTTTATTTTGTCATTTTTGTGAAGTTGGCGGCCCAGCGGCCTGGCGGCCTGGCAGCCAAAATTTTAGTGTGCTGGAAATGTTAATTTTACAATAAAACGGCATTTAGTGAAGTTTTAAAGATAATAATTGTTATTTAAAGGATATATAAAAAGAAAAAATCACTTTCAGAGATTTTTTTTATTTTGTCATTTTTGTGGAGTTGGCGGCCCAGCGGCCTGGCGGCCTGGCAGCCAAAAATTTTAGTGTGCTGGAAATGTTATTTTAACAATAAAACGGCATTTAATGAAGTTTTAAAGATAATAATTGTTATTTAAAGGATATATAGAAAGAATACATCACTTTAAGAGAATTTTTTTATTTTGTCATTTTTGTGAAGTTGGCGGCCCAGCGGCCTGACGGCCAACAATTTTAATGTTATTGAAATGTTATTTTAACAATAAAACGGCATTTAATGAAGTTTTAAAGATAAACATTGTTATTTTAAGGATATATAAAAAGGAAAAATCACTTTCAGAGAACTTTTTCATTTTCTCATTTTCCATCGGGAACGAGCCTTAGCGTTTGGATTTCTCTATCCTCTATCCAACCCAATGATAGCTTATTTATCTCACTCACCTGGACACACAAGAAATCAGTGAAACTACTGGCTACGCGCATTACAACGTACCTAGCTTTGAAAAGCGGGGGCTAGGCGCCTGACTTTCTATGATTAAAAAGCATTATGTACGTCCGCAGAAATCCTAGTGACCAAGTTTATGTGTGATCCCTCATCAAAAAGCAAGGTTATCATGATAAAATGCATCAATATTAAAGTTGGAAAGTGTCATAATATAAGTGTTTATAAGGAATTCGGTCGGTTGACAAAAAACGTTTATCGTTTACAAAGCTTTTTCTACTTATTCGGTTAATTTGGCCGAATATTCAATTAAAATATATCAAAATGAGATTCGTCATCAACAAGCATCTATTATTGAGAGATAATAAATCATTTCCGATACAGGGGGCCGTCTTATCAACGGTCGTACGACCGTTTTTATCGTACGATTGTCGTACGTCGATCGTACGATTTTGGCGGTGTCTTATCAAACGTCGCAGATTTTCATAATCGTACGATTATCCTAAGATCATGCATTTTTTCTGCGATCGCTGAGAAGCAGTCGCAGATCAAACAAAATGGCCGCCTTACTACTTGTAAACGAACGCCGCCGAAGAAAATCACGCTGTTTTTCGGCAACGAACGGTTGATATTGATGATTTAACGATCGAGAAGTCATTTCCCGATACAGACTCAATAAAGCAGCAATAAAGAGTTGGAGGAGCTCTGTCGGGCTGACCTTTCCCCTAAAACGGATAGATCGCAGGCTATTTGCAGCATGACGAAGGTAAATGTATCGAAGTTTCACTGTATTTATTACGTAACAAAGCAGTTTGACCTTAACCTTGATTTATTTTTAGCCCAAGCATTATGGGTAAACATGGCGCTGTGTTATGTGTATACATACAAAAACATTAGGCTTGGATCCATAATAACAAGGCTTTAATTAGAGCTTTGATAACAATGCCGTTGTAAAAGAAAGGAAAAGTGATGTTATTAACAAATTCAATAATTCTTAATAGATCTACGTCAGAGGAGAGGAATTTCGAGGAATTTGGTTGAATTTGTAGATATTATGATCCGTAAACAAGGAGTGCATAGCCATAGGCACAGGATGATCTGATGATAGGAGGATTAATTAAACCAGTTTCATTACCTGTAAAAATGGGCAAACGTGTTTTGTTATGAAATGTAAACACTGTTCATTTTACATTTAATGGCTGGCAATATCAACAGTTGCTGAAGTTACGAGAAATCAGTAATAAACGATAAAGGATTAATAATTTATGACATATAATAGCACTCGTCCATGTCGTCTATTATTAAAGCTTATCATAAGTATAGCACTAGCAGGTAAGAATAATTTCTTTACATGATAGCTAATAAGTTCTGAGTTTCACAGCCCATTGAATAGAAATGTCATATTTTAGGTATCATATGTATAATAATTAATAAAAGCCAACACTTGTTAGTTTTCTTTTTATTTTTTTACATGTGTGTGTTTTTATTTATCTCGTGGCCACGAGATACTATGTCGTGGCCACAAGTTACTAAGTCACAGTGACGCTAAGTGTAAAATTAGCGACAAGTCATTAAGTTGTATAAATTGCACTTTTACAGGCTGGTGAAGTAGGGGTATCCTTGTACTACAGCACATGTCTAGTTAATTGGGGAAAGTAACATAAATGGTGTAATCTGATTGGTTATTTATCACATGACCACGACTTAGCTATCTCATGGCCACGACATAGTATCTCGTGGCCACGACTTAGTAACTCGTGGCCACGACATAGTATCTCGTGGCCACGACTTAGCTATCTCGTGGCCACGACTTAGTAACTCGTGGCCACGACATAGTATCTCGTGGCCACGAGATAAATAAAAACACACACATGTCACATTTGTGCCACCGTAAAAATCATATAAGATCTAGATATATTTTTATCAAAGTAATTTTTTTTCAAGCACATCAATAAAGCAATTCGACTTTCTTTCATTGTAGGTTCTTATTGGACTTCGATACCTCGCAAAAGGCGATTTCATATCAGAAGTTGGAGACCTCCACGGGGTGTCTAAAGCCAGAGCTGCCATTTACATTCACCAATTCATACGAAGTGTAAACCTTCGATTAAATATATTAGGTTAGTATGTGGAGCTGTACACATATACAAGTAATTTTACTTACTTATAATAAATTCTATAATAGGACGGGGTTATACTGAATCTAATTCAATTTAATTTCTGAGACACTTCATCAATTAGCATCCATTGATATTCTCGTGATTACATTCATACACAGTAGTCTATTGCTCAATACAAATCTGTTCAAATTTTATCTTTTTTTCACTAGATATATTATTTGAAAAAAACTAAGGCAATCCTGTATATCACAGGTAAATATGCACCACATGTTTGCTGTATGTTTGGTACCCCATATGTAAAACATATGTGTTTCATGTGTTTTGAACAACATGTGTTTTAAAACATGTGTTTTTCATATGAAAGATTAACATATGTAAACAGTACCATATGAAAAGCATGTGTCAACAAGCATATGTTGAACTCATGGTTATCACATGTTTTTATATGAATAAGTTTTCATAATAATGTAAAATATATGTGAACTTTCGTGTGTTTTTCATATGATAAATCTATGTATTATATATTCTGCAAACTTTACACTTTTTACAGTCCCTATTAGATTCTAAATGATTGTACAAAAATTCTGTTCATGCATCTATGTGCAACTTATGGTTCTGGGAAGAATAGTGTGCCATTCATTTTTATTCATGATTTTTTTCTCCCTTTGTATATTTTAGTGTTTATTTAGTGAAGGAAGCCAAAATATGGTGACCCATAGGGAGTTACCATCATATCATAAAAATGATGCTCAAATTAAGATTTATCAATTTTGTAAGTATTTAAAAAAAAAATTTCATGTATATAAAGGGAGGTGATAAAAAGATTATTTTCTACTAAGTCTGAGTCAAATTTTTCAATAAGAAATGAAATGCATATATTTTGATTATTACATATTGTATGGACAAATATTTGAAGTACATACTTTACATATTCATCAATGTTTGAAAATTGTTTTATAAGCATAATTATATACATATTATATATATAGTTTTACTTACACGTGGTACTGAACACTTAACACTTGTAATGAATTATCGAATTCCAGCAAACCAAACTCTGGAACATAATTTACCATTTGTAATGAAAATGATAATTTTTTGTGAAAAAACATAAGTCTATATCATGCATGTAACAAACAGTGACCTTTTCTTGGCCCACCATATGAAAAACGTGTTATTCATGTGTATCCATAAAAAACATGTGTTTGCATCATATGTAAAACATATGGAGCACTTTTCTGGAAGAAACCATATGTTTTTTACCATATGTAAAACATGTGGGTCACATACATTTAACATGTGGTGCATAATTTACCGGTGTACTTACATGGGTTTTGTCTGATATAATCATGGCACTTTCTGAACTTTGAAAAAAAATGCATTATGCCAGCTCTTTTTGTTTTAAGAATAGTTTGTATTCACTGTCTTATGGCTCTAACTTGTTCATAATGTTTTTATATATTAGATAATAATGGTAGCAATATGATATTTTATGGGGTTTCATATAGCAAAGGAAAACCCTATTCCTACCACTTCTTTAATCAGTACATATACTCTTTTCATTTAACGTCTATAATTAAATACCACTTATACTTTTATTTCAGATTTCCAACTGAGAGGTCAAGATTACATCATTTGAAGAGGAAATTCTATGAGAAATGTAGAATCCCAAACGTAATCGGTAATTGATCATTAATTACTGGACATTAGTTTCATATATACATATATATTAAAAGCAATGTTTTAAAATATAATAATTATGCTTTTGGAAATGCTTGTTACAATGTTTTATGTTTAAAATCATTTGATATCATTTCTACAGGCACAAGTGGCACTTCTTTGTATACAATCCTTACTAAGAAATATCAATTCAGCTTCTTTTTTTGTAGGAGCAGTAGATGGAACCCTCATCCCTATTCAGGGTCCAACACAGGATGAGGCAGCTTATGTCTGCTGAAAAGGGTTCCATGCTCTTAATGTTCAGGCAGTAGTCGATGCTGAAATGAGGTACACTATTTTATGTCAAACATTCAAGTCCTGTGTTAAATTACAAAAAAATTATAAAATAGAATCTAATTTAGTTTCTTAATCCAAGAAGTGTCCCAGGAGGAACTTATTTTCATTTGACAACTGTTTAAATCAGTATAATGAAGATGAACTTAACATACACTTTTATAACATTAAAATGCTAAGGAGAAAAAAGGGAAGCATACTACTGGCAATTTATAAAAAAAGTACAACTTCAGATAAATTTATTAAATCAATATATTTCCTGTAGATTAATGTATCAAATTAATGTAGCTGTTGTAGATTTACTTATCAAATAAATATACTTCTTGTAGATTCACAGATGTTGTTTCAAGGTGGCCTGGTTCACAGCATGATGCGGCCATTTTCAATGCTTGTGGGTTAAAGGTGAAATTTTTCACAATCAATTTCTCATGACATGACTTAAAGCTGCATTACCCTTAATGGACTTCTAATTATATTAGTAAATGCCTGTGCTAACATCATACTAAATGTTTAAGGACAAAAATATTTTTTCTTTCTAATTTTATCTAACTTTTGTGAATTTTCTAAAGAAAACTATATGTCATCTGAAAATAACTGTTTTCTGATAACCTATCATTTTTCAGACACATTTAGAACAAAGTAATAATGGGTTGTTATTAGGGGATAGTGGGTACCCTCTAAGGAGGTATCTCTTGACCCCAAAGGTGAATCCGACAACACCACAGAGGAAGCCTTCAATAAACACCATAGCAGAGGCAGAATGTTGGTAGAAAAAGCCTTTGGTATACTGAAGTCAAGTTTCAGGTAAAATATTGCAAATCATTCAAAGTAATTATTGTATTAGTTTAGTTTATACAAATTTATTTTTAGTTCGATTGTGTAGTAAGCTATAAGCTTATCTATAGAAACACTCTCAAATCCGTTCCTGGTGCCAAGCAGTACTGAGCAATGGATGTTTCTTGCTCAAGGAAACAACAGCGTGGCCCTGACAGGATTTGAACCCACGCGGTCAGCAATCCTTAGATTAATAGTCCGACGCGTTAACTACTCGGCCACGCCGCCAAATTGTATTGATCCATTTTATCATAATATGTTACATGACCTGTATTGATAATGAATTTACAATATGTTTAAATGATGCTGTCCCAACTTTGATCTCTACTTCTGGCCCTATTTTTGTGAAAATGTCATGCCACTGAAGTAATGACATACCACATGAAACAAATAACATACATAAGCCGCGTCACGACAAAACCAGCATAATGGGTTTGCGACCAGCATGGATCCAGACCAGCCTGCGCATCCGCGCATTCTGATCAGGGTCTATGCTGTTCGTTTACAAACCCTATAACAAGTAGAAAAACTGTAAGCGAACAACATGGATCCTGATCAGACTGCGCTCTGGTCTGGATCCCTGCTGGTCGCAAACCCATTATGTTGGTTATGTCATGACGCGGCTCATATATTTATGCCTTTATTGCAGATGCCTACACAAAAGTGGTGGTGTTCTACCGTTTTCACCAGAAAAGAGCAGCCAAGTTGTGGTAGCATGTATGAGGCTACATAACTTTTGTAAAACTATAGGAGTACAAGAGCCTGTGGAGATCATCACACAGGATGATGATGATGATGATGATGATGATGATGATGATAATAATTTACCAAATGGAGATGACAGAAGTTATAATAACATTAGACAGGAATTAATTAATTTATTCTGAAAAAATGTTTTTAAGACATAGAAATTAAAAGCACCTATGTATTACTTAAAAGAATTACTTTCTATTTCACATAAACCAAAATTAGCACAGTACAGTAGTTAACTTATTGTCAGAGTCAATGTTACCTTTGATAAGAAAAAATTATATTTGTAATGAATAATAAAAATTAAAGGGGTTAAGTAGTAATATTAAATAATATAAGTAAACTATACAAGTGAAAGCTATTCAGTTAATCTGTTGAATATTAATTTGTGATTTCATGAAATACATTAATTCATTGAATCATTGTGAAAAATAACTACTAAAAATATAGCTTTCAGAAATATCCCCTTGTCTTACAACTATAAATATTAATAATTCAAATACTGCACATTTTTTAACATAATTTTTCATTGGAATACAATGATGTTTAAATTCATGATTGAAGATTTTTTTTCCCTCTAAAAATGTTGTTTGCTGTATTATGACTTTGTTACAAAAGATTTCTGATAAGTTATATGGCCATTTAAAAGAATTTGTTTGCAAATTATAACCCTCACCTTGTTGACTAGGTTATATAAGCAAACAACCATTTAAATGGGGTAATATAACCTGTCAAAATTCTTTTTTTAACTAATAGTATAACAAGTTTCATGTTGATGTCTTTTTATAGCTTTTAAATCATTCTATGTTACAGCAATTATGTTAAAAATTCTAAATTGCCTAAAATTCTAAGTTTAAAAAGGACTTAACTCTTGCAACTATCATAATTGCTCAACTGTTACTTCAAAACAAACATGGTTAAAACAATTCAAAATACAGATAGGACAGAAGTGTTTCCTGATAAAAATAGACACCAACACTATGTTAGGGAGGGTGGGTGCTTAAATGAAAATTTTACAATGACTATAAATTAATGATTAAGAAATAATATATCCTAAATTTTGATTTTTGTGCTAAAAAAAACACTGTTCGAGTCCAGATGTAAGAAATAACATCACGGGGCAAAGCCCCGTTGATATAATGCTGCACATCTGAAGGACAAACATTGATTTTAATTTATCAATGGTTAAATTTACTGATTGAGATATATTATTTCAATCCTAACACATGTCATTTAATAAATGCTGCAGTACCCGATATTAAGCTAACTTTTGCCTGTAAAGTTACCATATTAAATATTCAGCTCGTAAAATTTTTAATGGTTTCATCAAATGTCCAAATTAAGAATGTAAACATTGATTTTATGACCATTATAACACACAATTTCGGTTCTTCTGAGTTCATAAGGGAAACATACATGTCGTGTTAGAATTTTAAATAAGTTTGTCTTATCTTTTTTTTATGCCATCTAAAGACTGATTTAATGTTTTAATGTTGAATTCAATTCTGTCATAATTGCAGTCTGTTGTTCAACAAGTTGATATATGTCATCCTCTGTTTTCTCTGAAAAAATGAAATCAAAATAACTCAGTCTAAAAGATTGATGTATGTACAATTTTCATGTACATACTTAGTGGAAACAAGTTTAGATATGGTCAATTTGCAAAAAGTGCATTTAAGTTACAAGAAATTACTTCCAAAACACACTGCATTATATAAATAGTTTATATTCTGATTCAATGTGCAAGTACTGTATTTCAATGTACTAATAATGCCTCAAATCAAGTTATGGGGGTTTTTGTGTATGAGTAGTTAGGTTGTTTTCTTCACATCACCTGCCCCACACGGCTGTGTGTTTAAAACCAACAGAGACTTTGGTTTTTTTTCCTTTTGTGGTAGCTACACGTATCTATATCTTATGGGTGATCTGTGGTTCTACTCAAGTGCATGCTTTTCAAGGCCTCAGTTCGCAATCACTAGTATGTTCAATCATGCAAGTTAATAAATGAATAATAATAGAATTGGAGTAATACTATAACATAATAATACTTACTGTCATATTTTGCCTTCTTTGGCACTGACTCATTATCACCTACAATTTAATGTGCATGAGTATTATTGAATTATTTCCAGCTTGAATAAGAAATAAAACGACAGTTGTTTATGTTAATGAAGGTATTTTTTCATAAATATATATGTATACAAGTTAAAGATTTTAGAAAGCTTTTCTTTTTGAGTTTTTGGCACACTTAACCTCAGTTAAATAGAATGCAACAATCCTATCATTTTTTATAAAAAATGACATTGTGTGACTATAAATAATTTCAACAATACATGTCAACATATATTATTGATAAGACATTATGTACTTTGTTAAATTGCTGAATAAACATTATGTAAAGTTAAGTTATGTTATTCTTACCTTCAAATCCTTTATCCTGCAAAATTTCCTTTCTTCCCAAAGCTAAAAAAAGAAGCCTGTATTAGTTATTACATAACTTAAAGTACAAGTCACATGTCCATAAACTGCACAATGTGACATGCTAACTAATAAATGTGAATCTTAAGTATGTAACCTTCTGGTATAAGTATGTAGCCTTCTGGTATGTAAAATTATGTAGTCTATGGATTGCTGCATAATTCACAATATTTGTGTGTCTTTTCTAATTGTATATTTCTGCTCATGACTGTATACCTTACATGTATATAAATATGTATACATCTACCTAGATACCTATTATAGGAAATGACAGCTTAGTTTATGTAACATTATAATGTTAAATCACAGAAAAACAGATACACTAATCTACTATCATCCATAATAAATTCCAATATACATAATAGCATTCATGACTGAAAACGTTGACTGCTTGACCAATGAAAGAGGAAATATTAAACTAATTTTGAGTAATTAGCTTTTGTCAATTAAGGATATTTGGAAACTTGATAATTACTGTAACATTGAAAATAATGAAATTTCCGAACAAATTATAATAAATGTATTATCAACATGCTCACAACAATAAAATTTATATACATGTACTTACAGTTTGTCTCACTTCCAACAGGAAGGTCTGGGATGGTAAGGCCAGGATCATTATTTTCTGAAAATGGAATACATTATACAGTTAAATATATAAATATATAACAAACACATTCTGACTTCACACAAAGTAGATATGTTATATTTAAAATTCTACATGTTATAGGTGGTCACAATGTAAATATTAAGAACCATTAAAAAACTGGCATTTTTTTTTAAAAAAAAGAAAAAACTTCATTTGGACCGTTTAGGGCAAAAAAGCTTCCCATAAATACTTCATTTAAATTATTTTATTCATTCAGAAATTTTATTTCCATTAAAATTTTCAATAATTTCTGTGTTTTAAAATATTTACTTAAGGTAAAGATATAAAATAGTAAAATTTTTTTAAGGGGGTTTAAGGGAAAACATGAAAAGTTAAAAGTGAAAATTTAAACGTGTACATATTTTATTTGAAATAAAAAAAAAGGTTAAAAAGAACAAATTTAGAAAGAACGATTAAATAACGAAAAAAGGCACTTTTGGGGGCATATTTAAATTTAATTTTTTTGGAAATTTTAAAACCCATGTGTTAAAATAATTTTTTGATATTGTTTGGGAAAACCTGTAAAATAAATTAACAAACTGAAAAAATTTAAAAACAGCACAAAAATGTGCAGTGATGTGTTGTTAAGGTAGCAAAATGTAAACAAAGTACACATGAAGTATTTTGACTTCCATCACAGGACCTTGAACTTATGTCAATAAAAAATGTTGTTTTTTTTTTCTCGAGACATTAATGCTGTTATTGAATAACATAATTTCAAGGTCCTGTACAATATACCAGTTCACTATAATTATACCAATTACCACCATAAAGTATTTGTTTAAACTGTAACAAGCATTTCTGATGCTTAATTAGGCTTTAAGTAAGAGAAGTATATTGAAACAATAACAGCTCCCTTTTATTGATTATACTTAAACAATAAAAACAACCTTGTTTCCTCAAAACAGAAGTAGAGTTGACATGTACTGTACATGTTCTAGTCCTATGAGAAATATACAGTTGCTGTGTAATATGCTGGGCTAGCAAATCATACATGTGATTTAACAGATTCAAAATTGTTGGATGCAGAAAACAGCCCCAGAAGTATTAAATATACAAATGTGACAATGAGTGGCATGATTCATTACCCTAACTAACAACTTCACAGTGGCCAGTGTTAATTTTATACTATAATGATCCAAACCAGTCAATTTTATAGAATTGGTCAACTTATAGAAAGTGGCAATTGGTCGAATTTATTTTATGTCAAAATTTTGTAAAATATGCTGAAAAATGAATGAAAGAAATAACATAAAATATGGGTCAAAGTAGTTACATACATGTATATATCAGATATGTCATTCTTTGTATATTGTGAAATAGAACTAATCCGAGAGTAGATCGAGTGACATTGAATCAGTTCCGCTACAGACCACGGCTGTAATTTAAGCCTTTTAGATGTTTTAAAGCGATATATAAAGTTTTGCAAGTACAATTTATGTAAATATACATGTAAATATCGCAAATGATCGTAAATGATCTATTAATAAAAATTGCTGGTTACCTTTCCACTACATTCGCCCAAAACCGGGCTTTGTCCGCGGCCGTAAGTGTCTGTGAAAACTTGCCGGTGGCCACATCAGCATTTTCACATTTGCTAATGAGCATATCACGCTCATCAGTTGTCCAATTAACTTTTCTTGCCTTGTCAGACATCGCTGAATTGTAGCACACGTCGTATTTCAATTATGACATTAAAATGCGCGTTACCTCCTTTTTTGAAGAGTATGTGTTAGTGCGCAGGCGTAAGAATCGTACGCTTATGAAAATTGTAAGATTTTAGGTTGAACGTACGACCGCGTTGATAAGACAGTCTTACGATCGAGCGTACGACAATCGTAGATCAAAATCGTACGCTAAGATTTCCAAAATCGTACGATCGTTGATAAGACGGGCCCCAGGACCTTATCTGTTTTAATGTTGGTTGAAACAGGTTTGTACCTTAAAGATTAAAGTGATAGCGTTTGTGTAGATGAGCTACGCAATTCGCGGGTCAGTGATTTCCCGCAAATATTACGAAAATTTTCAAACAATATTTTTTGTGTTTATTATTTATATCTGATACATAGGTAAATGTGTTGAGTTCGTCTAAAATAATTATTTAGTGACGCAGTGGTCAAGTCAACTATAAGGGTGTAAAACAGTTATCATATTGTATTTATCATCTTTTAACGATACAAATAAACAAAAACTACCAATTTGCCAACTGTCCACTTAACGCAGTAGGTAAGACTGTCATTTAAATTTCTAGTTGAATATCAATGCAAGGCAGGTTCGATTCGCAAAAATTATTGCTGTATGAAGAATTTTTAAATGTACTACGATTACCTAATATTTACAATTTGAATATATGGATCAAGATATAACATTATTTTTTACTTTTCTGATAATGCTTTCTCCTGATGTGTGGCGTTTTCTCTAACTGTACACAAGTGCATATCAACCCGTGTCCAAAAAATATCTGATGCATTTGTAACTATTTGAAACAAAACCGGTCAAATAAGAAAAAGATCCATTAGACAGCCAAATGTAATAGTACTTATATATATAACCATGATTCGACCATGAATATAACACTTAAACGGTCGCTCTGTCTACTGCGCTATCAAGGCACATAAAAATCTCACGTTTTACTTTGTGTTTAATTCATAAGGAATCAGCTTGCCTTACTTTTTTTATGGAAAGCCATGGCTGTCTTATATTGCTCTTTTTCAATTTATTTAACCATTTGGACAATATATAAGTTCGCTTCGACTATATGAATTGAAAACACCTTCTTATTTAACCGGAATCCATTATATTAATCCACAGCTACAATATATGAAACCATACCGTCAGTGTATGAAACAGAGTTAGCAATATATAAAATGATTTTCTCGATATATGATTCCAGTTTTTCAATATATGGTACCAAAGTAGCCATGTATGGAATCAGATATCCTTATATGAAACCGAAATTTCAATATATTAATGCATTGTTCACTATATCTAACCAACTATAAATTTATAAAACCAAAGTAGAAATATATAAGTTGGTTATCACATGATATGATACCAATTCTTCAGTATATGGTACCAAAATAGCCATATATGGAACCAGATATCCTGGTATTAAACCGAATTATCAATATATTAATTGATTTTTCAATATATGAAACCAGTGTATCAATTTATGAAACCAAAGTAGAAATATATAAGTTGGTTATCACATTATATGATACCAATTCTTCAATATATTGTACCGAAGTAGCCATATATGGAACCAGATGCCCTTATATGAAACCGAATTATTAATATATTATTTCATTTTTACAATATATGAAACCATTTTATTAATGAATGGAACCAAAGAAGCAGTATATATGTTGATGTTACATTCTATGATAGAAATATTCATTATATGGAACCAATTTTAGCCTATTTTCAAGTCAAAAAGTCACTGGGTTCTGTTATAACAATGCATACACTTTTTCATGAAATTAATTATTTGACTGGTTATTTTGAAACTTTGTGAGTAGATTAACATTGATGTGTCCTACTGGCCATGCCCATTTTTGATCAAAGGTAAAGGTCGAGATAAACTTTTGTTTAAATATGTTCTTGTTTATGGTCAATACGACTTAGAAGCTTAAATTATGACTTTGAAATTTTACATACACCTCGTACATAATATAACGATAAGTTTTGCCTGCCCAGCCCATTTTAAGGCCAAAGTAATTGAATGTGACGTTAAATTCAAATATGTCCTTATTTAGAAAATGTGCAGTTTGCCATTAGTAAAGCACGCTGGTCTTTTGACAGTTCAACAACAAATATTGGCGCGAAACTGTAATACCGGTGCGAGGATAGAATACAGCCTTTAAAAACGTCCCGTCAGTATAATGACATTTTGGTTCAACGCATTGCTCATTTGGTTCCATATATTGGAAAAGTGGATTCATATACTAGCAACCTATAGCAAGAATTGGTATCATATAATGTGATAACCAACTTATATATTTCTACTTTGGTTTCATAAATTGATAAATTGGATTCATATATTGAAAAATTAATTGATATATTGATAATACGGATTCATATAAGGATATCTGATTCCATACATGGCTACTTTGGTACCATATATTGAAGAATTGGAATCATCAAATTGAGAAAATCAACTTATATATTGCTAACTCTATTTCATACACTGACGGTATGGTTTCATATATTGTAACTGTGGATTAACATAATGGATTCCGGTTAAATAAGAAGGTGTTTTCAATTCATATATAGTCGAAGTGAACTTATATATTATCCAAATGGTTAAATAAATTAGAATGAACAATATAAGACAGCCATGGCTTTCCATATTTTTTTTCGCATTGTTATCAATCTTTGTTATGTAAACAAAGGTTAACCTCCAACTCGATAACGTTTACATTAACGGGCCATGCCATTATGATTTAATGGGTTGTGCAAGTTATTCAGTTATTTCACTTTGCATTTTTATTGATATAAAAAATGAAGGTGGATATGGATACGTACAACTGAGCAGCGTAGTGGTTAGAGAGTTCTGATTATGAGGAGAAAGTTGGATGATATATTCTATTATTCATTTAGTGTTAAGTGTCTTGCTCAAGAAAATAATAGAAAATAGCAAATGCAAAATTATAAATAATTACCTAATCTGTGTCGCAATTACAACGGTTAATGATAATAATACCTGTCATATATATATATATGTCAGATATTTTTTCTTGCATATTGTAAATATTCCATTATATTTTTAATTCTTTATCTTTATTTTCAACGCAAATTGATATCATTACAGCCGTAACTATTTTCTTACAACAGCGTATGAAATTGCAACTTCATTCATAACGGAAAAATGACGTCATCCTAAGCGTGCCGTTGTACAGCATGCGACTCGTCTGGCACCCCCTCCCATGCCAGATGAAATTTCCGGCATGTGTAAAACACACGAAAACGCCTGTTTGCTATGCAACTCCATCATCTTCATAAATCATCGATCGGCTTAAACTATTTCGCAATACTTTTTGGCTCTTCTCCAATTTCAGGAGGTAGACTGGTACACTTGTCTCCGATCAGTCGCAACATTTTGGCCCTTTGATATTATTATAGATAATAGCCGAGGCAGTTCCGAATGTAGCTGAGGACGTTCCGCAAACTCCTCACAGTGATTACCTCCCTTGCCAGAATTGTAATCACTGCCTTCAAAGACGTCACATGATGATGAAAGTCACATGACGTAACGTCGAAATTCAAATGTAAATATCGACCGTTACAAAGAAAATCTAACGTTATTTTTCTCTTTCTGTTTTATTTTTTACTTTTAGTGCCTACGTTCCATATAGTTTATTAAAAAATTATCGAAAGTATAGAAAATAACGAAAAATAAATTCAAAAGCTAAAAAATATAAAATATCAAAATATCGTCTCGGTAGAAAATAATCTCATAATTTTTAAAATTATTTCTAAATATTTATATTATTTATTTATTTATTCATAAACATTGTTAAATAAATGAGAGAAAACTTATCTGATAGATAAAAGCAGTAGATAAAACAATTTTTGAAAAAATATAGTATATCAGAAATTCTGATATATTGGGACCTTGGTGGCAGAGATCTACGCCGAAGAATTAAGGGGAGATCACTGTGTGGAGATTGGACGTTCCGATTGTTCCCCTAGATTGGAGGTGGACTGGTTCTCTGTCGAGTATGTCTCATGTGTCCTAATGGGCTATATTTTTACGAGTTTTTCACAAAGTTTACTGTACTTCACGCATCTTCATAATTATTTAGATGAAGATCAGCGCATCTTCATATATAAACGAAGAGGCGAAGATTGATTGCGAAATAGCATGAATAATAAAAGAAATGCATTTCGAAAGGGCCTATACAAGTTTTCTTACATAAAGTTTAAATTAAATTCCTTTAACGGCAAACATTCACGAATTCGAAAACCTAGGTTAACGCCGTTTTCCGGTACTTTCTTTACATAGCTGTGGGAAATTCCGTTAATGGAGTGTAATAACGAATTCTTCGTTTTTGGTCGTTATTGAATCAACAGATACTACTATGTAGGAAAATAATTAAATATCATTGTAAGAATAATTCCATACAAAAATAAAGTAAAATACGCAAGTTTAATCACAAAAAATATCTCGTTATTTATTATGGAAGATGCCACTACGACTGTTTTTAATTTCATTGAATTTCATAATAAAGAATTCAATTTTATAAAAATTTGCAATAGTTGTTGAGGGAACATTGATAATTTTCAATCATGTCAAGTTTTTTCACCTTACACGGCGAAATAATGATAGAAAAGTAAATGTTCCAGTGGTATGTACTTCATTTGGTGAAATTCCCCGGAGGTAAACCCGTAACATACCGGAAAATGGTGTGACGAATAAGTCTATAAACTGAAGTCAAAGTGAAGGAATCACATATTCATATATGAAGCAATAACCTTTTAAACATCTTTAATAGATCCATGGAAACAACATGTATTTAATAAATAGGCGATGCAATTGCGTTGTTTTTTGTTTTGTTTTTTCTTTCTTTCTTTTTTTTGCTGAAATCACAAGAGCCTGACCCGGTGCGTAGTTTGCGTAACGCACTTACGTGAGTACAATTTATCGAGGAAAATGAAAATAATATATAATATGATGTGAAATTATCAGCATAACAATTGTAGAGGCATACATATTTGATGTGTCGTATAATAGGTCAGGATGTGGCAACTATTGATCAAATGGGTATTCTTCTTAAGTTCAGATAATCTTTATGTTCATTAATGTGTTCGTTTAAACATATGCATTGTATATCTCTTTACATTTCAACACATTTTTATCTTTACAGACCTTAAATAAATATGCGTTGAACACTTTC